ACCATTTGTAACCTGGAGACGTAGCTTAGGATGCGTAGCGAGAGGTATTTTATAAATATAAACTGGGATAATCTTCAAAACTAGATATTTATTGTGTTTTATAATATAATTACTTTTTGAGGCTACTTCTAGATAAATCTGTCATAGATTTCTCATAGATGGCGCTACGACTAAAAAGTCGTTGAAAGACCAAGTACAAAGACACGACGCAAGCACATAGAAGAATTCGTGAGGTCCGTTGGTTCGTTCCGTGGCTTAGTTGGTATAGCGTCTGACACGGTATGCAAGAAGACGTCGGTTCGAATCCGACCGGATCGAAGGAATTTTTCCTGAGTGTTTTTTCTGAGTGTTCGATCTTTGTATTAATAATTATAACAAACTAGTGCAGTAATTTCACAAAAAATAATTGAATATCAATTCAATAAAAATTTAATTAATTTTATAGTATTATGTTGAAATTTATACGAATTCACTTCAAGTAATAAGAGTTGTACAGATATATAGGTACATACAAATATTAATATAAATATAATATATGTAAATGTGAAAATAGCTGTGTCTCTTGTTGGTAGTACTGACGTGCTGTAAGAAATGTATCGATGTTTCAAATTTCTAGATTCCAACTAAACTCAAAGTAAACTCAGTTTCATAATCTCGAAAACCGATTTATACCAAAACCGTTATGCTTTCAAGGGATTTTGGTTGCTTATTACAAAGAAAAGATTAAGTTAGTTTGTTTTTTAATATTCCTAAAATAATGTAAAAAATACATTTGGGATTACAAAAATTCGAGCAAATATTATTTCGGGCAAATGTATTTTCGGGCTTCTGATTGATAACTCCAAACAGTAAAACGAATACAACAATATTTTGTTAGTTATTTATTACTAACATTTAATAAAAAGTCATTTTAAAAATAAGATGAACAGTGAATCAACTCTATAGTTTCTTTATTCTAAATCTAAATATTTCAATCGCTTGTGGTTCGAAAATTGAAATTAACGTAACGGGTCTTTTTCTGTGTTTTGCGCATGTCTTGTGCAGGATAAGAACAGTTAGCTATTTGGTTATTTTTATTGCTTATGTAATTCATGTTTATTGTGTGTATCGTACTCGTACATGTACTTTTTATTTTTTTCTTACAGTATGGCATATTTATGATGATTTATATTAAACAATTACAATTTATTTTCATTATTTATAATTTATTACATTATTATTTAATATACAATACGACGGACAAATCAATTTGAATAAACTTCGTTACATAATCTGTCGATAAACATAGGAGCTAAAAGAGCGCGTCGCTTCTCTATAACGAAAAAACAGCGTCCATGAAGTATGCTGCATTTTTGTCTATAGTTGCCTGTTAGTAAATAGGGAACTTCATAGGCATGCTTATGTCAAATGTTCGAATGTTTTGAAATATTTTATAAGTAATCATTGACTTACAAATAAATGGACGACGGGTCTAATACAAAAACCACGAAAAAAATGTCCCAAGTCAACCTATTCGAAATTTAAATTGTAATGTCATCGCAGTATCGCGCTGTCAGTCGAACAAATGAAGACTAAAGCGGAGTTTGGCGCTCTGTATACGATTTTAGCGCCTTACAAGTGCGGACACTTTTTAGCGCGGACCCGACGTCCATATAATTGTAAGTCAATGTAAGTAATCGATAAATTGAATCAATGTGATCATTGTGAAAAAATGTCATAAAATAGAAAATTAGCAATTAATGTAAAAAGTAGGCTTATGTATGGAATGTAATTCCACCTTTGGCTAGACTGGATGCAGCAGAGATTTTGAGAAGACGACATGTTTCGTGGAGTGCTTCACGCGGTGAATTCGATAATGGAAATGAAAAAACATCGATTTGAAAGTAGTGTTTCTTGTGCGATAGTTTTTTGCGCTTGTATCTTGACAGAGGGGATTGCCTATCGATGACACGTCCAGTCGTATATGCTCTAAGTGGGGATGCCATGGAAATCGAAAAATGCATGTAAAGTTTGAGGTCGGTTTTTTTTTTCAATTATTAAAAAGATGTTTCTGTTTTTTGTGCCGCATATTTAAACCGTATTTAAGATCATTGAATACAAATAATAAAAAGGAAAAGATTACCCTAACACATTGACTTACACTAACAGCTGAATCTTATTGTCAAAAATGTCCCACATATATTCAAACAATTCGAAATCGACTTTAGCGATTCGGAAATGATGCAATAAGTTACATAAGTCTATCAACTTTTGTGCAAAATTTTATTTCAAAATGACACATCTGTATTACAAGACTGTCGGAGCAAATTTAAATTCTATTTTATTGTATGTTAATAGTTATTTTTTATATAAGTGCGGAAAGTTAGTCATTTTTCACGAGACGCGAGACAAGTGAAAATGACAAATCCGCACGTGTATCAAACGACGTTTTTTAATACATTTGCGAAAAAACTACATTGAAAGTAAAATAAAACAGTATTTAAAAAAAACTCATTTTCTGCTAGTAAATTAAAATAATGAAATACAATCACTGCAACCATTATTTAAAAGAAATATAGTTCTAACGTGCTGTTTTTGTTTATTTTCTGTAATATCGGTCCACCATACCACTTTTCTTATTATGAAGTCCTGGTACTTTTGTTTAAACTTCTTTAGGAACCCGTGCACGGTAGTGAGATACAATTTATCTGTAATACATAAAACAAATATATACATAAAAATCTCGCCTGTCACCCATTCAGGGGTAGGCAGAAACCTCCACTCGATACGTTCATTATATAGTATTTGTAAATAAATATAAGTTTTAATGACGAATGACTTACGTCACAAATATTAAATAAATATACAACTTCTTTAGTTCTGTGCTTAAGATTTGAAACAACAGTAAATTTAAAAAAAAATGGAAAAGTAAAAAGCACTAGTGCGAAAATTCCAACTTTCGGCACGATTTGTAGTGCGAAAAATACCACGTTTTGAGCAACTGTATTAAAAAAAATATTTCCACTATCTTTAGGGGAAAAGGAATATATTAATTAAGTTGCTATCTAATTGTGTCGGCAGTGTTGAGTGGATCCTTTTCCATACGCTACTGTAGCGTATACACATGACAATAAGTCAAATTGTGTTGACTATTTAAAATTTGATAATGCTTGTTTCGTTACTTATTTTTCGTTTTTGTTTTACTTCTGCTTTTTCTTTTTTTTCTTTTTGTGTTGTGAAATTACAGTAAATGTTATCTATTTCTGAGATGTTAAAATCATAACAGTATCAAATTAATTGCCTCAATTGAAGTCGTCAGTTTTTGTTCTTTAACCTAATAATGACGTTAGCTCAAGTAGCTAAAGAAAACTTTACTACCAGCCCAAAAACCATAGGTTTAATTTTCTTGAGTTATAATTTTTTCTACAGTTGCAGGTAAAAAATGAAAACAATGACTATGACACAGCCTTTTATTTCACATGTACATTATGTGCTTAACTCAAACGGCTAAATAAATATAATAATAAGTAAATAATATAATTGAATAATTTAAGTAGGAATAAATAAATTTCTTTTTTTACTTAATTTATTATTTTGCTATCTTATAAACTTCAAAACAATAACCCTGTTTTGCTGTAGGGTAAAAAGTAACACGTTATAAATTAATAACAACTTCAATAAATACTAAAATGGTAACTTGATAAATAGGAAATACAGTTAGAAAGTACTGATATGTACAGTCAGCTTCTAAATAGTAAGAGCGAGTGATAGGAAAAATATCAGAACATATCATCCTTTTAACAAGTCCTTAGGGTGTACTCTAACTCAAAACTCTTTTTATTGAACAATTAATTCTACAGTGTCGATAAGTTTCTTTTGAAACAATTGTAATATTATGACATTGATAATACGAAGTAGATGATTCTATTCCATCCTTTTAAGTTAGTTTTGACAACGACTGAACAATTCGAAATCGCTTTGAAACAAACATGGTCTTCATTAATTAATTAAATAAATTCTCATTTACTTACAATAATGCGAACGTGAACTCGGTTAATAGCTTCCCTAACTTCATAATCGTCTCTAACACGAAGCCTTACGCTTCCACATTTATATAGGGAACGTTTATGCAGTGGTCTTCCCTGCCTGCAGAATTATTCCCTGTACACTATAACTTGGGCCTTTTCAAAGCGAGACTGAATAGACATTATTTAGACGTACCTGTACCATCTCATCGTCACTTTTCATGAAATGAGATGAAGGTCAAATGCTCACTTAATTTTAAATTTAAAAAAGCAACATCGCTGCAATACAACAACCAACGGAACTACACTAACCACGTTGGAACACATCTAAGGAACTGGCAATTGCTATGATTTACCCAATACCGTATTAGTGATAGCGTTAAAAAAAACTCTAGTTTACTCTTTGAGTCTCTTTGGTTGATCTACACGTTTTTCATCAAACGACATAGTGTCGCGATCAGCTGTATACTCCATGCCATAAAAATACGACAAAAAAATTATGAAATTTAAAAAAAATCCTGTGAGTACAAACGCGCCTACGTGTTATACGTACTAATCATATTTATAGGAATGTACTTGTGTAATGAAATCATTGACTTACAATTATATGGACGTCGGGTCCGCGCTAATAAAAAGTGTCCGAACTTATAGGGCATTAAAATGGTATACAGAGCGTCATTCACGCTATAGTCTTCGTTTGTTCGACTGACAGCGAAGCAGGCAAAATTAGACAGTACTGCGATGACATTACAATTTAAATTCAACGTTTTAGCTTTTTCATATTCCTTTACATGTCACTACGTTTAAATAGGTTGACTTGGGACATTTTTTTCGTGGTTTTTGTATTAGACCCGTCGTCCATTTATTTGTAAGTCAATGAATGGAATACATAATTTCATGGGAGTTATTTTTTAAATAAAACCTACCGGAAAACAAGGTATGAAATGCGAGAAATGTCACAAGGACACTGACATAAGAATTGGAACTTAAATTACTTTAAACAAAAATAGTTGATATTATTGTAAATGCATATTCTTAAAATTGTTTCTTGAACATTATACATTTTTGCACAGTTTTCTTTTAACTTATCACCTTTACTTATAACACCTATGAATCAAATAAATTCGTTGGTCAAATTTTTGGGTATATATTTGTACATATATATTATTATAAATAACTAGGTATGTATGGCACTATTTCATGTTATTGATAAGTAGTTGGTAATTGTTTGTTTCTAAATCACAACCTGTGCTGTAAAAGCATAGATATAAAAAAATATTTGTACATACTTTTAACTATATTAACAACAAATGCCTTTTCAAATCGTCACAGTATCTATGTATAAGCATGATATTTGCGTAGAATTTTCTTTTGCATATGAATTATACATAATTATAATTATGGTGCTTTCTGTACAGAGACAGGCTGATGTGAGGAAGCCGCCGGTTCTGTACCATTTTCACTGTCATCCAATGAGTCGTTAGCCGTCATTTCTCTACCGTACATTGCTAGGAACTCAAATACAACTCCGTTGGACCATCCAAATCCCTCCTGCACCGTGTATTCTCCGCCACCACCGTATTGACCAGGATTTTCTGAATCGTACTTCTCGAACATCTGTTTGTGTTCTTGGTACCCTTTATGGCACGCTCGCACATAATCCTGCGCTAATTGGAATGCGATTAATTTACTCTCCTCAGTATTCAAGGCCTTCATCGCATTTACAGCCATGCTCACAAGAGGCGGCCACGAGTTCGGAAAGTCCCACTGCTCTCCGGTTCTGAGCATCGATGCCGGTAATCCGCCACGGTAATTTAATGCACCAGAATCGTGCATATATTGTATTATACGAGGGGCATGCTTCTTCATGTCGTTCTTTGTCACTGTTTCCATCCACAACGGTGACAAGTTAGTCGGATAGAAGTAGTTGCGATGCTTTTGATTAGCGACGTCATAGTCCAGCCAGACTCCAACTTCTTCATTCCATAACACTTGCTCGATATTATTCCTCCATAGTCTAGCGAGTGCTCCCCAGCGCGCAGCTATACGAGGCTGTCCCAGTATTGAACGGAAGTACGCTACATTTTGCAAAGCGTTAGCGAATATGGCATTTAAATCAACTGGAATAATGTCCACTGTGCGGAGGTTGGTCAAATGGCCAGTATTGTCTCCGTCGGCGTCGATGAACCATCTACTGGAAAAGTCCCAACCACTCTCAGCGGCACTTTTTAGCTCGACGTAGAAATCTTGCCGGCTCTCTGTAGTATTGAAGTGCAATGAGGTAGTGTAATCTTCATAATAGGATTCTGGGCGGGGGCCAGCAGTTGGAGCGTAGTATCTCAAGAGTGTGTACGATTTACCATTTTTATTGATAGTTGTTATTTTGTTGTCAAGCCAAAAGTTCATCTCTGTCTCCAAGGCATCTATATGTTGCTTCAAAAAGTCGATGTCGCTTGTATATCGTATATACAAAGACATCATAGCTGTAAATAATGGCGGCTGACTGCGCTTCTCGTAGTACCACCTGCCGCCGTTAGGGATAAGTCCAACCGTATTGAGCAGTTCAACAAAATTATTTAACATGCCTTTGGTTGTGTCCTTCATTCCTGTAATTAAGAGACCCTCAACAATCCAATAAGCGTCCCAGTAGTAAAGCTCTTTAAAACGACCTCCAGGTATGATGAAGCCGTTGGACACAGGGATGATGCTGTACCGGTCAGGGTTTTGAAAAACATTGCTTTTAATCTTTCTACCTAGTATGGGCCAGATGTTGTTAACATCCTTAGCGAACTGTCGAAGTTGTTCGTCTCTAATAGTACTGAGAAATACAGGGTTTTCATTATAGTCGTTAGGCGTCCAGTCTTCCAGTTCGCTGTCATTAGTGAAATGTTGATGGACGAATTGCGTAAGATGTTCTTTCGAAGGAGCGTTGTTTGTTTGGTCGAGAAGTTGTTGGAAGGCCGCTAGGGTGTCGTTAGGGTCACTGCGCATGTGGTAGTCCACAAACGTCTTGGAATCGGGGAAGACGCGTGCCATTTGGACATGGTGCAGAAGGTCGCTGTCGCAATAAACCGGATATCTGCACGACGGAGGGAGAGGCTCAGCGCAAGCGACGACGCTTATGATTGCGCCCACCACCAGCAGATATTTCATCTAAAAAAGAAAAATAATTTTTTCAAAAACATTTCACAGCTGAAGTATCCACTAAATAGTAATGTGAGCATTATTGTTTTCCATTTTTGAAGGATAATGGTGGAACTACAGGCACATAGGACCCATTATTCTCAATAGTTTTGTTCTGTTGACAGAACTACTGGTACTTTTTTCCCATAATAAATAGACAGTTTTCTTCACAGAACTACGAACTTGTTAAATTTATGCCTCAGGGCCACGCGCACAGTGGCAGAGCCCATCAGGTCTTTGCGATTTAAAGCTCTGAGTGGCACTGCAACTGTTACGGGTAGGCATGTCACTTATCACAAGGCGTACGACTTGTTCGTTGTCCTGTAACTTGATATCTTAGAAAAAGTCTCTTTTTGCCTAAATAATGATAATAAATGTTTAAGGGTCGTATTCTAGAACTATACTCAATGCTCAAGTCAGGATTGCACTGGCAACACAAGCACTGGAAATACGCCCTAATGGCAGGGACTTGAGTATGATTTCGAGTGCTTTAAACCATACTCAAATCCTGACTTGAGCATTGAGTAGAGTTCTAGAATACGACACTGAGAGTCACTAGAATGACATTGTAAATGATTAATTAATTAATTAATTAAGATTATAATTGATCGCAAATATAAACCAGAGAAAATAAAACAATATTAAAAAACGATAACCTCATTAATCATTACATACATAATAATATTGAAATTAGAAGTTGAAAAGACGCAAAATGTTGTTACCAGAAATTGTTATTTATTTACGGAAAGTTAAAATAATTGAGAAGTATTCATAATTTGCAGTTACAACACGAACACAACATTATAAGGCCTCGCATTTTGCAATAAGGCAAATAATGACTCTACTTATAAAAGTCAGTCGCCATTTCGGTATCTGAGATAGACATTCATAAGTGGAGTAAAGTATACTTGGCCTAGTTTTTCTAAAACTCCGTACATTCGTTAAGATATATTATGTATTTGATTATGCAATATTTTTCAATCGAAATTCTGTGTTAAACGAAAACTTGGATACTAGGTTAGTGTCTGTATCGTAACCCTATAAACATCGATACATATTAATCAGAAATCAGAGCGAACGAATTCGACAATTAGGTTAACCGATTCATAAAACAATTTGCAGTGCATCGGTGATGTTCGGCATAGCTAAGGTAGATGGCTTTGCAGCTATCACGCGAAAAAGAGCGGCTTCCCTGGTGCATAGAGTTCGTGGCAGCGAACTAAAATAAAATAAAGTAAAATTAAGTAAGTATAATTAAAAGTAAGTAAAATTGCAAATTCTTTTCACGAGATCTGGTCTCGATTGCAAATTAGTTTTAGAAAAAAATGTTATTTGTAGTACTAACTCTATTTATAAGTGCTTTGTTACTAACCTCTATGGGTGAATATTCCGAAATAAAGATATTTGAATTTGAACTTGAATAAAAGAAAGAGGTTTCCAATTCGACTGCATTTTTTTTCTTACGCGATTGCTCCATAATTTGTGAACTGATTTCGATGATTCTTTCTATTTTGTTGGAAAGAGGGTACCTCAGCAGCGGTCCCATTCAAATTTGAAAAAAATATTCCACTTCTAAGGGTGGTAAATTAGGGTACGAATCCGGTTTATTGATGGTAGCAGTAGAGCACCTTGTGAAAGATTTCGTCCAGGGAAGTACTGCCACCTTACCTATTTCTTCCTTCAAGCAGTATTGTCAACATTATTGAATTCCGGTTTTGAAGGGTAAGGGTGAAATTACAAGCACATGGGACTTGTCAACAAATGTTTCAGATTGACGGGTGCTGTAACAGTGTTCCTCAGGTCTTTGCGATTCTGCGATTTGCGAGCTCTGACTGGCACTGCAACTGTTATGGACAGGCGTGTAGCTTATAATCAGGCGTACGACTTGTTAGTCCCATCACTTGATATTATAAAAAACCAACGAGAGTTACTAAATGTAGAAGTTATTTGTACGCAAAAATATAAGAAACTACTGTGAGATAAATTATTAATTGTAAATAGTGCATCTAATGTAACCTATTCGATATGAGCTGGTGTGAATATAAGAGTGTAGATGTAAGTGTAAATTATGATTGATGTTTAGCGTAAAAAAGTGAAAATCTCAACATAATAGACAGACTTTTGTAGAAAAAAGTGTGTGTTGCCGGTACGGTGTTTTGAATTTGTGTTTGGAAGTCGTCTTATACACGAATAATGAGGATTTTTAATAAACGATTTAGTTGTCGTGGATGCTTGGCAGAATATTAGCTTGGGCTACACACTCCATAGTCTGTTGCTGGACAAAAAGTACTTTTGATCGTTAACAAATGTATTAATTACGGGAATATTTACATATTACAAATTGTGAAATACATTTTGCGGCGGAACGGACTGGAAGCGAATTTTTGGAATGATACCGTAAATAGCATAACGGACTTTATAATAATAATAATAATAATAACGCACACACTCAACATAGCCCCGCACTAGGGAAACCCTGTGTCGCGGGTACCATGGACACACACATAGACAACCACAAATTACACCCAAACTCACGAGAGAAATTTATTTTATTTATTTATTTATTATTAATTAAAAGTAAATACAAATAAAAACTTAACTTTAACGGTGTAGCAAAAACCAATTTAGGTTTGTCCGTACACCGGTGTTCACCGTCTAGGCTTTACAAATTAACAATTATACATTAACTAAATGTAAACATACTTAACAAAGAATTACTTGTAAACAAATGTATAAATAAAAATGGAATGTTACTAGTACTAAATAGAATACAATTAACAAATAAAAGAAAATTGTGGGTAAGCATGAAACTCATCAGCTTCACAGTGCATGATAGTAAATGTGTCCATGGGGCCGTAATACACGGATGGATTTTTTTACAATAGTATTTTAATTTAATATTTCAAACTTATCAATTGATTTAGTATTCTAATGTAAAATATTGTTTTAATTTACGTTTAATGTTAGCTTTCGTTATTTCACTTCTAAGTTGTTCAGGCAATTCATTAATTAATGTTGGTATTTGAAATTGTAGTGATTGTTTTCCGTATAGGTTGTTATAATTCGGTTTTATTAATCTTATTTCTGACGCGCTTCGAGTATATCTTTCAGGTATAAAAACGTTTTGTAAAGTTAGGTCGAAGAAGTTTTCCACGAGAAGAATATACTTGACCTGATCGTGTATAGGTATAATTTTACAATGGGTAAATAATTTCCGGTAGTCATTTTGATATTTAGTTTTAATTTTTGTAGGTGTAATTGTTTTGAGTATTCTCAATTGTAGCCTATATATTGGATCAAGGTGTGATTTACAGGTTCTACCATAACTACTAAGTCCATAATATATTATTGTTTCACCTAAAGCCTTATACAAGTTCAGGAGGGTTGAAAATGGAATTTTGTTTTTGACTACGGCGAATTTTGCTAATATAGCGCGTAGTTTATCGCACACATAGTTAATATGATATTTCCACTTTAGTCTATTATCAATTAAATGTAGGCCATACAAATATTTCTCCCGGCCCGGGAATCGAACCCGGGGACCTCTGCGTGGCAGTCCGGTATGGTAACCATTCGGCCACGGAGGTAGTTAATATAGTATAGTCAGTTGCGTAACTTACAAACTAGATACGAGCCAAAATCTTCCGCGGAACTCTCGCGCATGCTCGAGAAAGACGTTGACGTTTCAATTTCTTCTATTTAAGGAACATACCATTGTTTTTTTAAACTCACAGGACATTAGCGAATTCGCCATTTTTTTGTATAATTTTTACAATAATATTAAACTACCGTACATAGTTATTTTTACCTGACATTGGCAAAATCATTGATTATTTCGATGGGGCCATAACATTTAAAAGAAGAAGAAGAACATACCATTCGTTACAGCCGGCTGGCCGAGCTCCGGGTATGGTGCATCCCATAACATAAGAACACTACGTAATCTAAACCCGACCGCGTTTGGCAGACCGAGTCTGACCCCTCCGTAGGGGGTACAAGGCTCGTTATTTATATGTTATATCTCATTAACCTTATCGTTGGGGAAGCGGATTTGTAAAATCGAAATTGTAGATTAGTTGAGGTACTTACATCCTATTAGCAAAAAGTTTCAAAGATACTGGAGTAAAAGTCATTTTGTACCTTATACTTGTTTAAATATGTGTTTAAAATCTACCATAATAGATATTTCGGGGTGATTTTAAATACATTGTCTTTTAAGGCATTTTTTATAATCATGTCACTATAATTTTGTGCCAACGTCAAAGTAAAAGGTTAGGAAATGGACGGGAAGGAAAACCAAAGAGAAAAGAAAAAACGGTCAATAGAGCTAAGGCAAAACAGAATTTTACTGATTGCAACATCAAAATTTAAAATGTAATAGGAAAGCTTATTTTTTAATAAAATAATGCGCATTCCACCATCTTCTAAGCCTCCATTTCGCCTGATAGAAAGTGATTATGATGTCACATGCACACACTAAATAATGCCTATTTACTCTAGCCTTCAAAAGAACCCATTATAGCGTTCAGGGAACAAGTCTGCAGGCAGGGAATTCCACTCCATAACCGTTCGCCATATAAATGTGGAAGCGTAACGGTTCATGCGAATCTTTGGAATATCCACGATATAGGTGTGAACGCCTACATCTATTCCCCCGGTGATGGGAAGTGGAAGACGGAATTAATTCATGCAATTCCATCGCACACTCCCTGTGATAAATCCTGTAGATATCAAGCAGGCAACTTTACGGCGATGTTAAAGGCTCTGCAGCTTTTTTTCTACACAATCTGCGTCACCTATAACCCACTTTGCATATCAAGGTAGTCAGTTGGTATTAGCAGAGCCCTTCCATAGGTGGAAGTGCTTCATATACGACCGGACTTGTGCTTGGTTCAGCTGACGCAATTGTCCCGGCGTGAAGTAACGCCTCACCTTAGAAAGGATGCCAATCTTCCTAGCTGCATTTTTTA